CTGACATATTAAGAAATCTCTCTTCGTGAAGCACACAAGCGCCTGTCTTCCTGTCTCCTTTCCAACATTAGAAGGAGCTCCACACCAGCTGAGCCCTTTAGACTCTCCCTGCCATCACCTGACTACGGGACCACCAGCCCAGGGTCACAGCAAAACCCATTCAGCCTATCAGCTGGTGTGGATTCAAATCCCCAACCTCCCAGCCCCACGGCCCCCAGTCCCACGTTTTATTAATCCTCAACCCCTACCTTATTCATGGCCACAGTCGACGCTGAGCCCTGCCACCCAGATAAAAGCCTTCTCTGAAGCACTTTTGCTCTGTAGTCCTGTTTAAATCCATGTGCCAGACCTTGGTTACTGATGCTGTAGCATTGGCTGGGGAGAGTGGGAAGCATAGTAAGCCATGGTTCCGGAGCTCAGGTACCCCAAATCACTTGGACAGTGTTACAGCCCAGGTGCCTGGTCCATTTCCTGCTCTCATCCTCAGCAGGGCTGGGTGGCCCATTCCTAACAAGCTCCCAGGTGTGGTCCCTGAAGCTGGCCCAAGACTGTGCTTTAGAAACCACAGCACTAGCTCATCTTTAAACCCTCTTCTACCCATGACATGGTATTTTTTTCAATTCAATCCGATAAATATTCTACATCACCAAATTACCTCACAACAGGCAAGGGAACGTCATCTGTCTCACTTCACACAAAGGAACTAGTTCATGTGTTTTCATAGAATTTGATAGCCAGTCCTTATTCACCTTGATAGTTCATATCAGCAAACTGTGCCTGCCTAACTTTTCCATAATGTAAGTGGAATTTACTTGACAGTTGCTGGGTAGAGAATCGAATAAACACAATCCTTTCACACTTGTTTGCTCCTACCTTTTCCAGTTCTGCCACTTCTCCTAATTGCGTTTGTTTGTTGCTTTGGACTGTCTGGTTTTAAACATACAGTGTTTGCTGCCATCCTGTGGTGATTCCAAGCAGATGCCAGCCTCCAATGCACCGGTGATCTCACTTTCTCAGATCCCTGGGTAAGGCCTGTGGATAACTGAGTGATCTACAGTGACTCCTGGATAACTGAGCTCAAGAAAATGCTGGATCTGTCCCTTAGAATTCTGAGCAACAGCAGTAATTTAGTCAGAGTTAAGAGATAGATTTGGATGCAAGCATTTGGTATCTGGTTTCTAATAACTCTGTAGCCTTGGCCCATTAGGAAATGTCTCTCTCAGCTTTCTCTTTGTGAAATTTCAGTGGTGATGGTGCCATCTTTCCAGAGCCGTTTTGCAAATCCCATGAGGTAATGTATACAGATCAAGGTGCCCAGCTGGTGGCTTGCCTAGCCACCCTGAGTAAAAAGGATTAGTCAGGGCTGCATATAAAATATGTAATATAGTTAATCTGTATAAATAACAAAACTTTCTTTCCCTCCTTTTTTATGTTCTAACTCATTAAATTATTTTACAAAACAACACAAGCCCAAATTTAATAATCAAAGAAGAAAATGTACATGTCTGCTTAGTAACAAAAATGCCTTTCTTGCCGGGCACGGTGGCGTACCCCTGTAATCCCAGCACTCTGGAGGCTGAGGCAAGAGGATCACCATGAGTTCAGGGCCAGCCTGGGCTACATAGTGAGTTCAGGGCCAGCCTGAACTACAAAGGGAGACCCTGCCTCAGAAAAATACAAAAAAAGAAGCCTCTCTTCATAGGCACACACACCTGCAGATAGGCTCAATCCCCAGCACACACACAAAAAAATCACATAATAATGTTAAAAGTTTATGATCTTGTTGGAGCCATGCTACTAGCCGTCTAGGGCCTCATGCAGCCCCTGAGCCTGTACCTGGATCTGGGTATAAGCCTTGGACACATCCTCAGTTGACGGTGAAGCTGATAGTGATACAAACCAGCTGTTCTCAACTCTGAGCCCACAGGATTCCCAGACGGATAGGCCCACTCTCCAGAGACTCTGATTTTAGTGATCCCAAGGTATGGAGCAGGTTGGGACAGGTTGCTGATTAGCTGGGCATCAAGATATTTTAAAAGCTCCTCAGTAATTCTAATAGAAGCCACTGTAGTAATTGGCTCCAGAAGAGCTACGTCTTCATTTGGAGATCACTGTAGACTATTTCTTCTAGTGAGTCAACCACATTCACAGAATATTTTCTGTGAAGAGAGTACAGGTGGGGAATAAGAAAAAAAAATCAAGCTGGTCTCTGATCCACTTATGACCATCCAGATGGGAGGATCAAGTGGCAGAGGGAAGGTATTACCATGAATGGTTGTAGATTACAGTGTGAGACAATTTCTTAGCTTGTAAGTCTTACCTTGCTGCTTTCTGAGGGATTCCTCCAGAGAGAAAGGAGAGAGGCACAGAGATCATAGAAGAGAAGGGCCATTCGTTCAGGGCCATTTGTACAAAGGAGAGAGCAGTGCCACAGACAAGCTATTCCCTTCCTACTGCCTCCCCACACCACTTGTAACACATGTGCAGATGAAAGCACAACTCAGCTGAAGGGTGTGTGACCTCCCATTATGACCAACATTTATTTGGTTGTGCACTCAACTCCCAATTATTTGCTTTAATAGAAATGTGGTAAAGAAGCCACAATAACAGGTGTGATTTTTTTTTTAGGGGTTATTTTGGTTTATTTTTTAGGCTTCTGTTTTTCTGCATCCTGCATATCTTGCATTGCACTTTTCTTGGGAATCTAAAACCTTTGCTTAAGTTTTAACAGTAGTAGCAGTAGCAGCCATACCTACTGAGCCTTCTGCTCAAGTACCCATAGGTACTTTGAGTGTATCGATATTTGCTTGCCAGCCAGAAATGACCACATTCAACATTCTAAGGTATTTCCTTTGGGTCACGTGTGTCTGTGCTCACACACATATACCTTTTTATAAAAACATTAGGAGAGGCAGTAGAAAGATAGCGAGGCTGATATTAAAAATACACCTATGGTGGGCCAGGGATTTAGCTCTGTGGCACCATGCCTGCCTTGCAAGTGCAAGGTCCTGAGTTCGATCCCCAGTACCAAAAAATTAATTAACTAAATAAATAAATAAAAATAAGTAGTGCAATGATATGAACTATAAAATTAATCTATTTTTTTAAACTAAATGTGTATATTATATACACATAAATGTCTCCGCCGCCTGCCTCACAAGCGCATGGACCCAAGTTCGATCCTCAGTACCAAAAAAAAAAAGACAAAACAAATTTTTACTTCTGTTTCCAAAAGGATTTCATTTTTGCAATAAGCACATGTGTTTTATAATTTTTAAATGCTAGGAAGAGAAGTCAGGGTTCTAATAAATGCTCTGTGAATTTGCGTGATCGGTTTGGTGGTGCATATTCACATATAGTGTGTGCATGTATGTACTGTATGGTACCCACACATATGAATGTTACACATAGATACTGTGCATATGTCATGTTGTGGTATGTGATGTCTTCATTAAAAGGACATGTGTGTACATACACAAAGTTAGTTTGGGCTTATGCATCACTAAATTCTATGAAAATATATAAAACTTTATTGAAATAGTAGATTTTCTCTTGGAGCCTCCTAAAGCAATCTGTCTACAACAAAAGATACCTGACATTTTTCTGCAGTTGAAGTAATGCAGTGTTTTACTTTGTATTTATTATTTCTCACTAACACAACAGATAATGGAACCAGAAACTTTTCAACCAGAGCATATTCTGGCCAGAAAAATCCCTGAGAACAATATAATCTGGCATTTTATTTATTTGGCCACACTGTGGCTTTTAGATAAACTTATATATGAGTCCAAAATTCTTAGCTTTAAACTCTCACCCAACTGTTTCTTCAAAGACTCTGTTGTCTTTTACTAAAGCACAATTCACAATAGCCAAGGCATGGAACCAGCCTAGGTGCCCATCAATGGATGAATAGATAAAGGAAATATGGAATATACTGTAGACACAGTGCAGTGGTATTTGGTCATAAAGAAAAATAAAATTATGTCATCTGCAGGAAAATGGATAGAACTGGAGATCGTTGTATTAAGTGAGATAAGCCAGGTTCAGAAAACATGTAATGTTTTCCCTAGAACGTGGGCTCTAAAAAAGGATGACATGCAAGTAGAAGGAAGACTAGACGGAAGGGAATAAGAGGGAGGAAGGACAGGATATAGGAATACATTAAGGATATATTAAGAACTGTGCTGTCTAAACTGGTAAAAGTTCTTTGCTTTATATTTTAGTTAACTTATTCCAAATTAAATTAGGAAACATTTTTTTAATTATATAAATAGAGAATTTCTTTGCCTCGGTCAGTGGCCTACACTTTAAATCCTTGTCCTATATATCGCAATTCCAATATAGCAGGCACACTGTAATAATCCTTATTGGATTATGCCCTTTAAATGAGTGAACTGTGGAATACATAGCGGAGAGTGGAACTGCTGTTATTAGGGACACAGAGGGGCAGGAAATGGGGAAATATGGGTCAGGGTATAAGGCTGCAGTTACATAGGATGAGTAAGTCTAGAGAGCACATGTACATGGCGTGAGGACCATAGTTAATATCCATATTGCTTACTGGAAACTTGCTGAGAGTAGATTCCAAGGGCTGTCATCATTTAAAAAAAAAAAAAGATAACCATGGAGACGGATGGTTTGCTTGACTGTAGTGGGTGGTGTGTATGACAAAACATCATGTTTTGTACCCTAAGTATATACAATCTAAAAAATTAAAAGTATGTGGGTGAAGTTTATAGTGTGTAAAGTACAGCTCAATAATCAGTCCTTTCTAAACTGATCTTGAATGGGGGCAATCCATAATCTCCGTACACAACAGAAAGATGTTTTCTGACTGAGGGCTCCTTTACTTCTAGCAATACAGACCACCAGACTTCAAGGTGGGGAAGGAACGGGAGCCCAGTGTGCTGGAGTGGGTGAATCTTACCTCCACCGCTCACTAGACCACCTCAGATCCCTCTGACTCAGGCCCCACAAACTGTCATCTGCTCTTCCCGCAGGAGGATTACAACCAGTTGAGGCCGCTGTCCTACCCCAACACCGATGTGTTCTTGATCTGCTTCTCTGTCGTAAACCCCGCCTCTTACCACAACGTCCAGGAAGAATGGGTCCCGGAGCTGAAGGACTGCATGCCTCATGTACCTTACGTCCTCATAGGGACCCAGGTTAAAGTGTGGGTGATTGGGGGGTGGGGGACTGCAAAGAAGCAGGCATATCACGAATATCACATACTACCAACCACTATGGAAGAGTCTCGGACATAACAGTCCTATGAGCAGAAGTCCTTAAGATGTTCATGATTGTTTAGCCCACAGTTGAAAAGATAAGAAAACTATTTAATGTGAAGTAGGAAGTTTTGATATGCCCTGTAAGAATTAATCTCTCAAAGTAACTTTTTCAAATTGACAGTCTTCTCCAGCACTGAATCAGAGCAATGAAGGGATGGTGTCAATTGCACATATTATCTAATATTTTGTAGCTAAAATCCACAGTTATTTTAAAAATCACAAAATAGTTGAGTACCAAAATGACCCCAGAAACCAGAATGGGCATGTTACAGCAGGACTCCTTAAGAGAAGGTCCTGGAGAAGGAAGACAGAAATGCAGTGCACGGCTCTGTTCTCCTTAAACCCCTTGATCTTCCAGAGTTTATAAAAGAAGTTAAAGCACATATACAAGATAAATAAACCTGGATGGTAAAGGCCTTTAAAGTGTTTCAAAAGCTAATAAAATTTCATAGTTGGAATTTCTAGTAGTAAGCCAGTTGCACAAATAAAGATCATCCCAAATTGTGGTTTTAAATGGGTTTTGTTCTTTGCTTTTTTAAAATCCAAATTGCTGTTGCAGTAACAATGAAAGGATTTATAGTGATCTGTTTCATATGCTGTTTTTTTTACATTTCTTGTTTTATATTCTGTTTGACAAAACAATTTTTTAAAAAATCATAAAGGAAAGAAAAATATTTTCTAAAGAAGATATAGATATACCGGGTATATGTGTTCACTCAGAGAGAGACAAAGTAGAATTCATATAGCCATAAGTCAGAGTATGATTGATGCTTCTGCTCCAAAAGATAATCACTTGTTTGTTTAAATGAAGTATATCACCTGAATTCCTGATGACAATATTTATCCAAACTGATGGAACCTGGATCCCTGATGCCAAAATATGTACTAGGACACTCAAACACATTAGTGCGATTTGAGTCTATTTTACAATCGATTGGCATTAAGTTGAATAATTAAGGCCAAAAAAAATCCCATAGCTTTGTAGACTTGAGTATTATGCTTATCAGTGGGACCCTAACATACTAATATATTGGTTTAAGACACAAGTCCTGTGAGTTCACATTCAGGGTCAGATACACAGTGAAATTTTAAAGCAACCAAATATTAAATTATCAAACCTAATGCATCCTACTTTCAAATCAGCTCTACCTTTGAAAAAATTAATGTTTATTCATTAAGCAAACCCTTTGGAAATCCCTCTTTGGGAGTTGCCTTCACAAGCCTGCAATACATTTGTTAGAATAGTCTCATAAGTAGGGAGATGTTCTAATTTGGAAAAGCAGAACAGAACAAAACAAACAAACAAACAAAAAAGATGTATCCAGATACAGGAAATAAGCATTAAATAATGAGTAATATAATTTGGGATCAAATACATCATCACAAGAAGGTAACAAGAATGTCTGGTCCTCTTGTATGCCCTATCAGTTAAATCTAGAAATAAACAAAAAATTCCCAAACAGCACCAGAACCATTAAAGGAAGCCTTCAGCACACGGGCGGACTGTTTCAAAGGAGAAAATGCAAGAACATCCTGGTTTGTCCATGTACAAAGAAATCACTGGACTCTCTTAGACACAACATGGACACGTGCGTGTGCTTTCTTAAAGAAGATTCATCTACTTCAAAGACATCCAAGAGAAAAGAAGCCCTTTTATACCACAGTCTAAAATAACTGAGAAGGCTTGAAAAAATAAATAAGTTGATCACATGTGTGTTTTTTGCTAGATTGATCTCCGAGATGACCCCAAAACGTTGGCCCGTCTGCTGTATATGAAAGAGAAACCTCTCACGTACGAGCATGGCGTGAAGCTTGCAAAAGCGGTACAGTCAGATTTGAATTTCATTTTAAATGTATGCTAAGATGATGAGTTTTTTTGATGTGTGCTTTGGAATGGGCGAGGTGCATAGAGTTTGCTTTGAGGTGCACTGTGTTCAGAATCTGTTGCTTTCTATCTCCCTTCTGTTCAAAAAAGGGTGGAAGGGACCATTTGGTTAGTGTTCTTGTTGGCCAACATTGTCTGTTTTTCATTATGAAAGAAACTTGGTGAATTTAAACAGCTGGAGCACTTAGCATTTGATTTAGCAACCTCTAGAACACCTCCTTGCCATATATACTATGAATTAAAGGAAGGCTTAGTTGCATATCTGTAAATCTCATTGCTTATGATCATTGTAACTCATTTACGTGACCCCATGTGCAGCATTTTGTGATTTTCTTGGGAGAGACTTAGATTAGCATCTGGCGGGGGTCTGTTTGCTTGGTATATAATGAACAGCCACTCACAGAGGCTAGCCTGCGTTACACACTGTACATGGAAACATAATACACACCAAGAAGCAACTGGCTGGGGAATCGAAGTGACATTTGACAAATAAAGGCAACTTGCTCAGAGCTGGGACTGCTTTCCTAAACCTGTCTTTCTCTGAAGAACCTAGCATGAATAGTGAGTTGGCTGAGGACACATTTCAGAAAGCATTTGCCAGACACCAAATCTTTGCCTTCCCATTGTCACCAAGATGTGAGCAAAACAGCCACTAAAATAGACACGAATGGATGGAAGTACTTTACCCAAGAGAAGGCTTATAAACCACATTTCCATAATTTTAATCCATATCCTCATTGATTTAGTCACCAATCCATCAACCCAAATAGGAGGCTTTAAAATTCTTGTTTTACTGTCCTAAGTAACTAGCCCTGCAAAATGCAAGTCCCAGGAAGTCAGAGCCACCCTCTCTATGCCAGTCAAGAATAATAACAACGTCTTCATTAACAAAGATGTATGCATTTCTCTTATTAAAACCTGATTATAGGCACAAAAATAAGTGTGATACACTAGCTAGAAATGAATTAAGTGCCAGGCTGGGCATGGTGTTGCACACTGAGGCAGAAAGATCACAAATTCACAACCAGCCTGGACGACTTAGTGAGACCCTGTCTCAAAGTGAAATTACAAGGGCTGGAGATGTAGCTCAGCATTCTCTGGGCACAATTTCCAGTATATAGGGAGGGAGGAAGTAGGGGAGGAAGGCAGGGGAAGGAGGAAGGAAGGAAAAAAGGGAGGAAGGAAGAAAAATAGGAGGGAAGGAAGGAAGGGAAAGGAAATTATTTCTAACCCAGCTCTGTGGACTTTTTCATCATTCTATAAACTGTCTCCTTTCCAACCATATATATTTTTTTTCTTCCGGGAGAATAAGTGTGTGTCTAGAGGTTCTTCTGTCTTCTCAAACATTCCGCCTGGAAAGCTCTCATTAGCATACATAAACACCCAGCTCTATAAATAACTGTGCACTTCCTAGCAGGAGGTCCCAGCTGGCTCGGCCCCAGCTTCCTGCAGGACCCTGGTCTCCCGGTTCTCTGCTCTGGGCCTGTCTCCCACCTCATCCCGTCAGCATCCTCAACTCTCTTCTCATTTGGAAAGTTGGTTTTTTCCTCTGAAAAGACGTCTCCCCAAAGCCTCCCATCTCATTTCAGACTTATTTTAGGAACAATGGCTGAGTTCACCACTTTATTGCCTTTTGCCAGTTTCTCCTAGCAACTGCTCTCAGATGCAGAGAGAATCGTGTTTAGCTTACAAAATCCAATTTAGAAGAAAACCAAGCAAGAATTTAACTGGTTTCATCACAATTCATGTAATAATAGAGATGCTTTAAGTTTTGCTACTCTTCGACTTCTCTGTCAAGTAGTGTATAATAACAGCTAGCATTTATGGGGTGTTTACAGTGTGCCAGGCTGCAAGCCAAGTGCTTCACATGCATCGTCTTAATTAATCCTCATAGCTACCCCCCAAGGTGGGAATATTGCCATCACCATTGTCCTAGAGGAAACTGGGGCTCAGAGAGGTTAAGGTCACACAGCTAGATAGTGGCAGAGCTAGGACGTGATAACCACCACGTTCTTCTGCCTCCCGGCTACAATCTGAAAAGAAACTCTTAGGTTTGGGGACTCCTTTTAATATACTGAAAGTCACATTTTAATGTGCATATTCTCCCCAAAACTTAAGTGCTTTGCAAATTTGGAGTTCTCACATCTGATCCTCTGTTAAATGCTTCTCAATCTCCAGTGTGTTTTTCATTTATCATCCTTTTTCGGTCATACAGGGCATTTTATTTTTAAAGGATGGTTTCATGGCTGGCATACATAGTTACATGACTCTTTACATTCAAAAGGCAACCCCCATTTACAGAAATATTTTGTATCAATTTATGATAAGTATTCTTTGTTTTCTCTTAGGTGATTTATCATCCCTCTTATTTATTGTGTTTTTAATTCCCAGCCCACACATCTGTAAACATCCATACTAGATTTATTTGATAATTGATTAAACACCTACCATGGGCCAGGTGCTCATTCTTAGATTATAACCCTTTGTGCCTTCTCCTTTGAAATTCCATCTGACACAACCTCACCATGATTTTCTAAGTCCAGGCTCCCTAAGGTACTTCCACATACAACACTTTCCCACTTTTCTTCTTTTCATCTTTTGCACTCTCTTGTCATCTTCTTCACCAGGTGGCATTTGTTGTTGTCACCCTTTACCTTAGCACCTCTTTCCTGCTGGGTTTTTTAACATACACAGGTGAGATTTAAAGCAGCAAAATGCAGAAACCAGTGCTCCATTCATGCCAACCAACTGGAGTCTGTAATCTCCTCCTCTTGCCTGAAGGAGTCAGAGTCACTGGGCCTCGTCTTGTAGCTTGTATTATCATTTCCCCTTTCCCAGGCTGTGGAAGGCCAGCACCTCACCACTCACATCTGGGTTACAAAGGCCCACAGGTGAGGGGAGGAGGGAGACAAGTGAACAGATGCACTGAACTACTGGATCCGTTCCAGACACTGAAGTACCCCAACAGTGGCAGAGGACAGGGTGACAGATACATTTGGGCCAGGAGAGCTCAGAGACAATTTCTTGAAGCAGTTGACATCAGAGCCAGGTATTATCAAGGATGAGGATAAGTTTATCAGATGGACAAAGTTAGGGGACAGGGGATAAAGATTCCAGACAGAGGGACCAATATGTTCAAAAACATCCTTTAAAACACAAGGACCCAACTGGCAACATGATGGGCCAAATTATGGCCACAAATATTTTGATCAGTCTACACCAGTACTTTTAATGCAATTTCATGGCCAATACTGAACACTCTGGAAACTTTGAACAAATACATATACGGTATTTCTGGCTTCTAAAAAATTTTCACAACATCTGGCAATTCTCGACGAGAATTTCCTCATGAACGCAAACTTTCAGTCTTTTAATTAGACAAGGTGCGTACTCTTCAGCTTGCACCTAACCCCGCCACTCCGTATCATCCTGTGCCTGAGCAGCACACTTACACCACCCACCCTGGAGTCAGCAATCTTTAGAGTCCTGAAAAAAGCTCATTCCACCCAGAAATGCCCTTCCTCTCTCAGCAACTGATGAATGAACACTGATTGGTTGAAGCAGAATTTCTCTCACGAGCCTTTGGGCTCTTCTTCCTTTTCTTGGCCCTCTCTGCTCTGTGCACCTCCCATAATCTCAAATAAGGAATAGAAACTTCCCTGTGCCTGGCTGTTCCTTTAGATCCACCACACCCACTGACTCTGCTGCTCCCTTCTCCTCCATTCACGTGGCTACACCCCGCTTTTCCTTCCCTTCTCTCTCCCTCCCTAAGTCTACACTTCTCCCTTTGCTCATTAGTGCTTTTTTGTCTTTCAACCACAATTTCTTTCTGTTGGCTGGTGACAGCAAAGCAGAGTGATTAAGGCTCTGGCTCAGGAGGTGGACAGATTCTAATCTCTGCCATGTTCTTAGTTGTGTGGTCCTGTACAGGTGGGTTTCCTAACCTCTCTGGGCATCAGTTCCCTGAGTTATAAAATGATGGTGGTGATAAACTGGTCCCCACAAAGTTGCTATGGTGATGAGATGAGCGACCATACCACAAGTTCCAGCTCAGCAAAGCATAGTGAAATCGATGTTAGCCCTCAGACCTGACTCCAGCTGGGAAGGCCTCTTTGCTGTTATTCCCACCCGTTACTTTCTATCTTATTCTATAACACCCCCCATGCCTCCAGCACAGCCTGGAAGAAGTGCATCATATTTTACTGGCTTGTCTTTGTGGGTTTGTTTGTTTGTTTGTCAGACTCTTACATCTTCTGTGCATCTATGATATATTTCTTAGCTTTTGAAACAATAAGTTTCAGCAATTGTAAGATTATCAGAAAGTGTTCTCTCTATATGTATCCTCTCTTTCCCTTGAAATATGTCAGCTTGGTAAAGCATGTTCCAGATTGTTAGCATGTGTGTCTAAACAAGGATCCCCAAATCCTGTGCTCTCCCAAATGGATTGGAAATATTTGACTGAGTAGATCATTTTGCTCCAAGATGCAGATGAAGTTGCTGCTGAAGCAAAGCTTCAAATACTTCAAAGCAGTATTTCCTTGAGACAGTTTTCCATTTCACATCTTTAAGGACACAAATGATCTCTCTAGTGATCCCTCTAGCACAGCTGTGCTTCTTCCCTGAACTGGGATAAATTCTTCTCTCCCACCCTCAGAGCCCTTGACACATGGTAACAACACTCACCTCATAACTGGATTCTCTTTCTCACACTCCTTCCCACTCACACCCAAAATCTGTTGGCGACTTTTCCTGGCACGATCTGCACAAGGCACAATGTTTTGTTAACCTCCTTACACAATGATGCCTTTATCTGCTGTTTCATTATCTTCAGTGAAGTTGGAATTGGGAGAAACAAGTTCAGACTCCTTCTGCATCATCCAAAGGTGAGCTCTGATGCCCTGTCTGCAGCACTCTGGGGCAGGAGGAGAAGAGAGGGCCCCCTCCCATCTCACAGGGCCCCCACTGGGAACAGAGCATGGCCCAGCTCTCCTGGAGTCCCTAGAATCTGTCTGGGGCTTGTGATCATCAGTGCAGAGATCTCCCAGACAGAAGGGCCCTGCAGTCCTCTCTACGGATTTTCCAGCTACCACATCACAAGTCTTTCAGTTAGGCCCATTGTTAAATCCGTGCACTTTTTTACACATGTTCATATCTGGCTTAGACACAGTCCCCAAATGCTACAAAGACATTATTAGGAAAATTCTCTTTGCCCTTTGTTCCTCTCTGAAAACAATATCCTACAGTTTTTTGATTATTTTTTTAAGTTATTTCCTAATCCAAAGGCCAACCATGGTCAAAATGAAAGAGATAACGTAGGTTTTCAACATCCACTGATAGTTTCAATACCATGATTTTGGTATTTCCCTTTGGCTCAACAGTAACCACTCAGTCCCCAAAAGCAACAACAAAAGAGTATAATATCTGTTGGAGAAGTAAAAGAATAATTTCTAGGCCCAACCAAAACAACTTTATTTCATACTTAGTCTTCGTACCTATGGCCTTGTGGACAAGTGAGCAGCCTTATCTCATTAACTCAGCTTCACCAGAGCTGAAGGATCTGGTCAATTACTGTCAAGGAACAAGGAAAAGAATACTCATGGAGAGACAGACCCAGAACTGAGGTCTAGTTCTTTCACTTTCTAGTTGACACCTCATGTTACCCTCCTGGGGCTATTCCCACACTAGTCTAAGCGATATCATGAATTTCTCTCTGGTGCACACATTTACAAATTGACTGGTTACACCCAAATGCATCCATGTCAGCACTCTACATGTTCCAAGGGGGGTGCTAAATTGGTAAATATTAGATAAAAGTCTAAATTCCTAGATCTTCTTGAAAAATACAAAAATAGAACAACAACCCAGCATTCCCACTTGGAAGCAGAGTGAGACCAACCCGCTCTCGAGGGACCTGCACTTTACAGTCCGCTCCCTCTCCCTAACCCCTTGCCTCCTGCCAGCCCAGGTTTATTCTCTTATGTGAGCACCTGCCATAACAGGCACAAGACTTTGCTGCCCTTTCAGTCATTCATCTGCTGTAGTTTCCAGGACTTCACCATCCAGCCAACCCTTCTAATCTGTTTTCCTTTTTCAAAGTGAGTCTTACAACATAAAGCTGAGGCATTTTTCCAGATATCCTTAATATGAAGAGGCCCCTGTCCTATCATTGGCTCAGATTAGCAGGTGAGAAACAGCCAGGTGTCCTTCACATGAAGCTGATTGCCAAACACGGTCTGCACGGCCTATGATTTTCTTAGTGAGAAGCTATAATGTGGGCCTGAATTTCTGTTTTTCATAGAGCATTCATGATTACCCAATATACCATGGTATGAAACCATCAAAAAGGTTTGAAATAAAGCCATAAGTGAGTACAAAATAGTTTATCCTTTAAATAGACTGTCCACTGACAAGGGATATGCTTCTGTCGATACATGTATTTTAGGATTTCTGTTTGATTTTTTTTTAATTTCTTAAAATAAGCTTTTAAAGCCTGTGGAAACTGAATAATAATACCATTCAGATATTACAGATATCTCTGACAAGACACCTTGTCAGAAGAATATTCCGATCAAGAGTGGCCTATAAACGCCACTTGCTTCTTATCATTTCATCAGCCAGGCTGACCCTGCCCTGCCACACACAGGAGGCGCCGCTCACTTGAACCAATGACCACAATCTACGAATAAATACAACACCACGCAGCCCTGTTCTTCACAAAATCACTCACTCACATCACTGGTTTTGAATCCTCTTCTAATTATTTATACTTTCATATCTTTACATTCTTATGTAAGAGAATGGCTGTGGATTACTTGCAGAATTCATTGCTTACCAAAGTGATCTATAACCACGTATTGCTAGTGTAAGAATGTTAAAAAATTATATATATATAAAATATATATTATGTATAGTATCTACACAAAAAATTAGGATAGTGGATACACGATGGAATGTAAACAAGAAAACCAATCCAAATGAACCTTCAGGCTATTTAGAGGACAAGAGGAAGTTGGGATTTGACAGATGTTGCCCCGCAGTGCTTTTTCCTCCTTTCTAGGAAATCTCCTCATGGCTTTCTCTCTTTTGTGTTTAAGATTGGAGCACAGTGCTACTTGGAGTGCTCGGCCCTGACTCAGAAAGGTCTTAAAGCAGTTTTTGATGAAGCAATCCTCACCATTTTCCACCCCAAGAAAAAGAAGAAGTGCTGCTCCGGGTGTCACTGCTGCTGTTCAGTTATCTGAGGTTGCTCCAGTGCCTCCCTCCACTCCAGCCTGGGAGAGGACGGCAGGCATCCTCTGCCACCCAGCTGTAGCCAGAAAGGAGGGACTGACAGAGAGGAAGTCCTGCCCCACCCATGAGCTCTCCTGAACAGCATCCTAGTCCGCTCACTGCCACGTCCCCCTGCCAGCCCGAAGCAGCCACACTGCAAACTCGATGCTGAGCTTGGATCTCAGACAGGCCTGCTGTTGAGCATGCTGGAAACAAAGTCAAAGGCCATCTTGCATTTTACGGCTCCCCTTCCACGAGCGTGGAACTGATGGAGATCATCACGGAAAAACTGAAAGAGGAACTTGGTTCCTGTGTGGGTGGCCTTACTTGATGTCTTTTACAAAACTTAGGAACACAACACTAACCTTTTTTCCTGAAACTGCTGTTTTCACCCATGTGTCTTACATATATTTGTGTTATTTCAAGAAATCTCCAATTGACTCAGGTCTTACAAATCTATACCAAAGTAGCCTAAAGACAAGGTGATTCATGATCATTTCAATTTTTGGCAGGTTTCTACCAAAGTTATTGGAAACAACATATACCTCTGAATGCCTGATTATAAGATACAAGAAAACTTTTAAGCTTTTGCAAAGCCATAATTTACAAAGCCATAATTTTTAGCCCGGTTAAAAAAAAAAATACCATCTGAATTATTACAGGTCCACATTTTTTGCCAAAGATTCACTCTACAAATCTTACATTGTAGATAGGCTGCTTTTTTTCATATCGTATTGCCACAGCTAACTAAAAATGAACTGTATTTAAGTAGCATTTCTGCTTTCCATCCACATTGATTGGGGGAAGAAAATGGCAGAACCCAACTTTCAAAATATTCTTCATTCAGCAAAGTGGGCCCTCCTGCTTCCTCGCTTCCCTCGGCAGCCTTTCCTCTTCCTTGGTTTCTCCCATGCCCTATTCCTTTTGTTTCCCTCAATACAATAATAGCCTGACCTAAAAGAAAGATCTGGGCATTGGGCATGACAAAGGAAGATGTTTCACAATCCCCCAAAATCAGGCAAAGTGCCTCACTTTTTGTACTTGCTTTAACTAAAAGAGCTTCTCAGCTTGCCCCATGTAAGCTCCCATTCTAAATGGAACTGGCATTAAATTATTGTACCTCTCTCTTCCTTACTCATTCTCCCAAATATCTGTTTAGGAACTCCATTTGTATAGGTATCAAGCTCTGGGTCCCTTTCCTGAACGATGCACTACATACAACATGAAAGTGGCCCTAGGAAAGGAAAAGCTCCTGATTATTTGCCCTTTCTATATGAAAATTCCTTTTATTTTATTGCATAAGTGAAGTTTATCTTTACATTTACAATTATACCAAGTTTTTCCAGATTCGAGCTCCCCCTAATGAGAAGACCAGTCTTTCTAGTCCCTTCTGTTCCTAGAGGAGCCACATAATAAAAGAATTGTATGCTATGGGTCTTTTCTCTTAAGACCTTCCATAATAACTCTTCTTTGGGATTCTGTTATTTAGAATTTCTGAAATTTGTTTTCCCTTCTCCTGTATTTCAAGTACTATTTCCCTTCTCTCTCATCTAATTGCTAAACATTTTCTTAAACACACACACACACACACACACACACACACACACACATCTTAAAGGAAACAGGAGTTTTGTTAAGTCAAAGTTTGACATTTAGAGAAAACAAAGACTTTCTACATTTGTAAATGGAAGTCAACCATGTATGAACTATAACTCTGCAGAGGTTATGAATTCATCCTTCACAAACAATAATGAGCACTTAGCCCTGTAATAAAGGAAGTGCTGTTAGCCAGTTCTGTTGCATTATTGCATAGTTACATCTTGCTAAAGAGCCACTCCTCACTTCTCATTGATGTGGATGAAAAATGGAAAGCAGTATGTTGGCTCCAGCAAGAAAAACGTTCCAGATGTGTGCACTCAACCAGCGAATCGCTGCCTAGGTCATCACCTCCCTAATGGGCCACTAGGATTAATTTGTTCGTGGTGGGAAGAGCACTCTCTCACCTAGAACCAAAACCTGCCCAGAGACCATTAGTGTCTGAACAGAGCATACTCCAAGAGATTTTAGGGGCTAATTACAAAATAAAATCACGTAGAACAAAACAACCTGAATGAGATCGTGTCATTCCAGCACATTAATCATTCACTCCCTGTCTTATGGCAAGATCTAGTTCATTTTACTAAAAAGTGTTTTCTGCCATAAGATTGAATAAAATTATTTTGAAATCAAAAATAAAAAGGCATAGAAATCTAGAGAAGGATCCTTTAATGGTCCATACAATGAGCAGCAACTGATCTCCACGTGAGGGTAAAATCTCCACTTTGCAGAGTTAGAAAAGCTATCAGAAACTATGGTCCAATCCTTCACTGTAAACTTGAGAAACTCAGCCTACATGGGTTAAGAGAGGTGCTGAGGCAGAGCTAGGACAGATCTCAGGTTTTCTGCTGAATGTCTTTCAAATCCATTCTGTAAGTTCTTCATTTCTGCGCATATTAGCCTGGAGTTTTGTAGGTATACCATTGGAAATCCAATGTTTATGCTACAGATTCCAGCCACATTTTTAATATATAACTTCACATAGATAGCCCACTATAAAGAAGGTAGTCTATCAAACTAGTAATAAACTAGACTACAGAGCAATATAATCCCAATCTAATAACTCAATCAAGTGGCTAGTTTGACTGATATTCTTTTTTCACTCAAATGATTGGTCACGAGTAAAATAAGTGAATGCCCTGGGCTATTTTGGAAATATAAAAGGACTAAGACACAAGTCAAAGCCATAGCCATAATTAGAAATCTGGGCTGATTTCTGCCAAGAACAATTAGACTTGAAGAACAATTACTGAAAGCAATAACTACTGCATCTCTAAACCAGGAAGTGCTAAGTTGAAAATTCAAAAACTAAGCCACACATGTATGACAGGAGAGGGCTTTGATGCTGAGACATCCTTTTGAAAGATTTCTGGTCCATCGGAGAAGTAGTAAAGGAAGTGGATATAACCACAGACAGTTTTCATTGGACCACCAATCAAGAAACCAAGCATACAGCAAAACACATGCCTGACAATTCTGGAGACCTGTTAACTTCTGCATGCTCTCCAGAAACAGGGAAGAAAGGAAGACCGTTGGTGTGAGCATGCCATGATCAGCAGCACAAATCACTAGATTATTTCACCTTATGATTTGCTACAAATAAACAGAATCCTGGACAAAGCTCTTTGGGTCGTTAGTAGCAGGGAGAGACCTCATCTTCGCACCTACTCTGCTCATATACAGCAGGAAGCCATATTTCTTACCAAGAAATATGAGTGAATAAATAACCTCACAAGTTTCCTTGAGCGTGAAGGTGATTTAAAACCCGGAAAGGACGATTTGGAGGTATCTACAAAGATCATTATTTGGATGAATTGTATTTATTCATCTTCAGTGGGATAGTTCCAGATAGAAAGATTTATTTAATATGCAAAAGTACAATAATAGAATGCAAAAGTTTATATGCAAAAGCAATCGTTCATAGTGTTCCAATAGTCAGCAAAGACCAGGAGGAAAATCAGAGCACCAGGCTCTCCACTTAGCATCACTTCAGCCTTCAGGGGCTCAGCCACACTCTCTGGGGATCTTCTTGGGTCAGGGAAAGAACGAATCTGAGGGGGTCTGGCTCATCTGTGAAATGCTGGGATGCAAATTCAACAACTGCTCGCTTTGAAATTCCACTACAGGAAATGAGAGTAAAAGCTTCATGATTAATATTGGTCCCAATCTCTTTTTTTTCTCCTTGGAGGATGTTATGTAAAAAACTAGGGTCACTTTGTTGTGTGTGTTTCAAATGTGTTCTGTCCTGATGGTTTCATTTTGTTCTATGAGTTCTGCAATAGCTCAGAAACTTCTGACACCACAGCTGGAGTAATTTTTTTTTTTTTTTGTATTTTAATCCACGTGCTGCAAGCATCTCAGTACGTGCCGACGTCCTTGCTGAGCAGGGTCTGATCAGCGTTATAGGGATGTGAAGTCAGGGCACTCTGAGGTTTGTAGGACCCAGACCCAAGTCCTGCTCTGAAGCATCCTTACCTGGCACACTTAGCCTCTCAGTGACCCTGCACAAACCAGCCTTTTTTTTTTAGTGTATTTTAGTTCTTTGAGAAAAAAACAAGGGCCGGGGATTTAGCTCAGTGGCTCTGCTGCCTGCCTCACAAGTGCAAGGACCCGAGTTTGATCCCTGGTATCAAAAAAAAAATAATCTCCCAGATAACTACAGAGATGGTGAGCAGAGTGAAAGGATCTAAAACAGAAACTGATAAAAAAAAAAAAAAAAAGAACTTAAAAGAAGAAAACAGACACACTTTCTGAGGAGGACAACATGTTTGGAGTGGCTTTGTAAATACATCTACGATTACCTCTACCTGCCATTTTGTAACCATTTTTTAAGCAGATTCTTTTCTCCTCAAGGAGCCACAGGCATGAATGTTAATGAATTCTACACCCTTGTCCGCCGGTTAAATTGCCTTTTTCTCCTAGTAAACATCAATCACTATTGAAGTACATCTCAGCAGAATTTTGTCCCAGTTGTGACCGTCACTGTTCCACCTATTGTGATCGGCAGCACCCAGGGAAGCACTGCGGACCTGCTCGTGGGCCGTTCTTCCAATCCGCGTCTTATGCAATGGCTATGCATGTACCCTTTTCATAATTAATGGAATATTATTTCATGTACTCTTCAACCTTGAAGTTTATTTTGTGCCATACTCTGACTTTCAAGTCATTAAATTGTCTTTCCCAGCTGTCGTCTGTGGCTCATCTGAAGGTGTCTATCAGCCACTCAAGCAGACTGACTTCTGCAGGTCTCGTGTGTAGAATGGGAAGTTGTCTTGCCCTTTGCTTCTCAAAGTGTGGCCCAGAAATGGGCACCGTTAGTGTCACTGGTGTCCTAGTGAGTTCTGTGGAGTCTCCGGCTCAGACCAAACCTACGGAACCAGAATCTGCATTTTAATAAGACCCCCAGGTGATTTGCATACACATAAAAGTTGGGAGAGAACTGGTCTAGGAGGCAACCAAGTTCATTGTCAGTCTTTATTTTCAGTCATATAAGATCTGCCTGATGAAGAAGCCATCAACTCAGCCTGACTCTCAGACGCCACCTCTGGGTATCATTTGGGTTAATGTTCGAGTCATTTGTCTTCACTAGATGAATTTAAAAAGAGCTATCAAAGTCTTTTTCTTGTCCTGTGCTACCCAGATGCAATAAAGGAGTGTGCATGTTTTAGAATAGAGCAAAAAAGTGGCAACTGGCTTAAAGATTTGCTAAACTCTGAAGTATTTATGTTCCAAAAATCTTTTTGGTGTTTATAAAGGGAAAAGAAAAATGCTCCCCAAACATACCTTCTATGAAGGAATAAGGAAGATTCATATCATATGAAGTTTACAAATTCATAGAATGAAGAGAAAACAAATTTCTGAGGCATAAAACTTTTGGAGAAGTTTCTGTCTTTATAGCCTAAGACGTGCAGGTCTAGATGTCAGTAAGGACTGACCACAACCACATGTTCTGTAGACAGGACACAGACCCATTCTGCAGGCTCCTGTCCTCACTGCCATGTCAAGCAGACCAGAGTCTTATTCACTTATTTGCCATATTTTACCAAACATCACTAGGGACCAGGTTTTGCTCTCCCTCCCACATGTCACTCTCTGCACAAAGTCCTTTTAAAAACTGTATATACACAGATCAAAGCCTAGGGTCTTATCCAAACCCCCTTGCTGAGGAAGTCCTGAATGCAAATCACACCTACCTTTAATCAAATCAAATAAGAACACAAGGGTCACCACTTCTTTGTACCTACAAGTGGCCTTGCTAACCTTCTGGCTAGAATGTCAGTGATTCAACCCCAGAAAAAGAACTTGATGCCATGGACACATCCAGACACTAAGGGCCTAACACCTTGGTACAGGACAGGCCATCTTCCCTCCCTCCCAGGAGCCCCTCTATGCACAAGCACAGGCTTCAGTGGTTCAGCCAGTGGCCTTCGTGCTTAAGAGGTAGAAGTCGACTTGTGTCCCAAGATGGCCCTTCCACAGAGAGCCTTCAAACTTGGACACACAAATGAAAATATATTCTTTTAAGATCATGATACACAGTGTATTTACCATTGCTATTCTCTAATTATTTTTGTTATGAAAAATTATTTTCCGTAGAACCATCTTTATATTTTCTTTATTATTATCTACTTGTATTAGATTAAAAATAAAAAAATAAAAAATGAATGGGACACCCTTTCCCTCTGGGAGCAACACGGCCAGTCACAGCAGCTCACATTCTTGGACGGCTTTGACCAAATCCCAAAACAGAATCTTACCAAAAATCATTTTCACTACTGCAAATGTATCCATGGTTTCTTGGCTGTAACCACTGAAGCAAGCTGCCAGAGTGCTTCTTAAACCAAGGCCTTCACGTCTCCTGCAGCCCACCACAGCAAAACACCCCATCCAACCCCTTCCTTCCCAGACCACAAAAGAGAGTTCATTTTATTCAACTAATAAAGAGAGAAAACTAACCTTTTTCTCTTTAAGAATCCACTTACTTGTAATTTTTTAGTTTGATTCCCAGTCCCTGCACTGTGACAGTAAAATGAAATCCCAGTCCAAGGTATCTGAACCCCTCCATCTGAACGGAAATGTCCCCACCAAATAAAACATATTGAAATAATTAGTACTGAAGAAGAGAAACCCCTTGCTCAGAGCCCACGCATTCTCCTCCCCTCATTAGCCCCTTTAAGCGTGGAAGTTGACATGGATGAATTCACGGTGCACTAGTCCTTTTGGCTTTGTCCTGAAGTGAGCTGGCTCCAATTTTGTTAGTGCTGAAATCTGCAGCCAGTTCCAGTGGGACTTTGTTTCTCATTAGCGGGTGTTAATGTTTCAATGGGGAGATGATTCACATTGCTTTCTTGAGCTTGGTCAGACAAGATCCAAAAGCTGAGCCCAATCTTCCTCTTAAAAACATTTCCAACATATTTTTTAATGTTGCATGTTTTAATTCTTCTCAGTAAAACTTGTGCCCAGAATGTTTTAGTTGTAATATGCAGATTCCAAGAGGAAATAAATGGACAGTAGAAATTGAAAACCCCCTGAAACCCTAGGACTTCACCACTGTGATGATGAAAGCTCACTCTTCTATGCTGTGGACATAGTAGGACCCTTCCCAAGAGCAACACGAGAAAGAAAGCACAATCTGTTCGTACATTTCACGTAGAAAGAACTTGCGAACTAACAGGATTAGATTTCTATTTCAAGAGCATAATTCTGCATATATACTTCCTCGAGATAGAATGGCTTCATTCATCAACATCCTTTTTTGTATATGAGACAGCTTACTTTCAGTGAATAAATGTTCTTTCAAGTGATTTTTTTACTTGTATCTGCAACTTGGAGATATTCGCATTTATTCTTTGGTTGTAATACTAACTTCAACATCACCAAAGTTACATTTCTCATCTTAGTAATGTTGATATTCTTGTTGAAGTAAGATATATGTGTGTGTGTGTGCGTGTGTGTGTGTGTGTGTGTCTTCTGGAGAATGTCTGTCTGTTTGGGATCTTTTTGGGGGGTGGGGGTGAGCTCTGCATGACTTTCCAGAACCCTTGATGGCTCACAATCAAGGTCAAAGAATATAACATCCTGTGTGTCAGGAAGCCTTGTTTTTTAACTCAATTATCCTATACGCTAAAGAAATTGTACAGCTGGAGGAACTTAGGGTCAAATATAAAGCAAATAAGCTTGGGAAAGGTTTACTTTACTTCCAATAATGAGGACCTTGACAAGAAAATAGAATAATCCCTCTAAATTCCTTCATGTTAGAGACAAGTCTCTGCTTCCCACTGCCAATTACAGAGCTTTGCACCTGCTGCCCTTGCTTTCTCATCTTTCCCTATTTCTTGGTCCTGTTATTAGCATTCCTCTGTTCAAGTGCCTTTAGCCTCCCCTTCAGACTCACCAAGATTGTAACAACAGGGTACTCAGCCTTCCTGAAACCCCTGAACACAATTCCAGATAATTCCAAGTATTAAACCAAAGGGAGATTATTGTAAAAAAAAAAAAATGGCAGAGGAGTCATTTTACAAATAAGAACCACAATTCTTACAGTCCAGTAGACTGTTTCACAAGTAGAAAATTTTAAAAGGAAATAAAATTTGAAGAATTTGCTAAAGACGGCTTAAAATTATTTCTTAATAGTTTGCTATAATGTTCTGAAAAAGACAGCTACAGAGGAGAAGGTGCAATTATTTTGAAGAAAATTTAGTTTCTCTCCTCCCCTCCCCTCACAATTGGAAACTGAACCCAGGGCCTTGGCACTGAGCAATATTGCCAGTCTTTTTTTTTTAATTGTTCAGGCTGTACTTGAACTTGCAATCCTCCTGCTTCAGCCTCCCAGAGTGCTGGGATTACAGGCATATGACACAATTGCCAGGCAGAAAAAGTCTCTGGTTTCATCCTCCATAAAATGGTAATGGTGAAATGACAGTTACAATACTTACTGGTATAACTGATAAAGAATAAAGACAAATTAACATAGAGGATCCTGCTCACAGTAGCACTCCTATAAATGGTAATGTCTTAGTTGCTTTCTCATTGCTGGAAAAAATACCTGACACCCAAAGTTAAAGGAGAATAGGTTTATTTTAGCTCACAGTTCATAGAGGTTTCAGTCCTTAGTCAGTTGGCTCCAAGGCAAAGTGGCATGGCAGAGGGGCATGGCAGAGGAGAAACAGTCCATGGCATGATAGGCAGGAAGTAGCAGCTTCTCTTTCCCTTTTATTCCATTCAGGCTATAAGCCAATTGGCTAGTGCTACCCTTATCCAGGTAGGCCTTCCTATTATCCACACCCAGAACTATACAAAACCAATCAGTGGACTAATTTAGTTATCATACACTCTTAATTCATATTCACACCCTAGATCCAGCTACCTCTGAAAAGCCCCACCTATGAGTACCTGAGGCTTTGGGGAGACATCTGGATTTAAGCTATAAGAGGTAACAGTATTTATATTTCTATTTCCAAATACAATTCCTTGCCTAAAATTAGAGCTAGTAGGTGTTTGTGAATGGAAGGGAGACAAGAGAAGAGAAGTAGAGAAGTAGAAGAGAAGGAGACAAGAAGAATCCTGACACGTACTTTCTTCTTTTTCATTAATAACTTTTCTAATGCCCCAGATGATTAGCCACCCCACACAATTTGTAGGCTATAGCCCTCTGGTTGCGAGTGTAGCTCTGATGCATGTTATAGCTTATGTGTACTTCACTTCTTATGGCTGTGTCACAACTGGTCTCTGCTTCACAGAACCCTGTCACCTCTGCCCATACCAGGAAACCCAGCTCCATGGCAACTTCCTCTGGCTACAAAGGACAGCCACCATGGAACCTTTCTATGACACAGGTGACCCCATAAGTGCAACCCTTTTTGCTTTCAAGAAGGGAACATCCTCCAGACCTTCTTGATGAGTGGTGAGCGTAGCTACTATGAGTTCTAGAGCCCCGTGCAATAACCCATACCGCAATCTTCTGCTCCCCAGCACTTTTCCAAGACAGTTCAGGCATCTTCTTGTCACTAACACAGGTCACCATTTCCCCAAGCTTGAAGGAGCCACCCAGCTGCACACTGGTACTAGATCCTGTACGCTTATGATGATGGTAAATTCTGACAGTGCTGCCCAATGCACAAATTCTTCTTACCCAGTCTTATATTCTGCTATTCTCCTCTCTCCTTCCAGTCTGACACTCTCAAGATTCATTGCCAAGTGCTTTCTAGCAAGCCCTCCTGGTTTGCATCTTTAGGTTCTAGAGCTCTTTTAGTGGAGTGTCTCATTCCTCCCACTAAAGGGCAAGTCTTTCCCCAGCAGAACATCCTGAGACTTGGCTCTAATTATTCATCTAGAACATAAGGGGTTCTGGGCAGTATTTGAGAAGGCTAAATATCATCATGTAAAACAACCTCCTCCGATGGGGGCCCCACAAGTTCTCCAAGTAAGGGGAGTCTGCTCTCCTATGACAAAGAGGAACAGGAAGTCCTTCTACAGGGGAATCAATCTCAAGTACATTTAGTACATCAAATGTGTGTCTTTGTGTCCCCTTCTTCCCTGTTAGGACCATAAGTTAAAGGTAGGAGATTTTTCAAGGTAGTGGATTCAGCCTTTTTGTAATTGAGCTGCTCTCCCATTGAGATATTAAGCCTGATTTTCACACTCTCTACCTTCCAGATGCATAAGGAAAAAAAAAAAAACCTCTTCAAATGCAGTTTTCATGCCATACCCTGAGGGCTTTGATTATACTTAACCAACTAATCCCACAATCCTTATAATTACCATGGTCCTTGCACCTCTCAAATGTTACAGGCTAGGAAGTGTTCACCTTTCCATGAGCATCCCACCAGTTCACCCTTGGAAAGTCTTAATGATACACAGCACGCCTCGTTGCCCTCACAGCCAATATCACTGCCCACTGAGCCTCCTGAGAGATCTGTGCTGGATTTTATCCATTTGCCCCCTTTGATCTATTCTCCATCCTTCTTCAATCTGCTGCCCAGGAAGCCAACATTTACAGGCCAAATCAATGGGCTCTTACTCTTGAGCTTCCATTTGACTCCCATTTGATTTAACAGAAGACCGGGAGATAGGAGGAGAGTGGAGGGAGGGTGTTTATTCTCGCTCACCCTTTCTACATGGTGTCAGTGTCGGTATGTTGTTCCTTCAGCCTAGGGCCACCTAAGGCTTCCAAACCAGAAGCAGTTCACCTGTCTTTGTTAGTTTCCTTGACTCTGCCCATATATTTACAAATAGTCTCTTCACTAAACTCTCCTCGCTTGCTTCCTGACTGAGGCCATCTTTTCTCAAACTCTGGCAACCCCTTCCTGTCTCAGAAACTCCAGGGCAGAGTTCCTAGGGAAGGGCTCAGAACACTACAGCATCATGTCTCATGGTCTCCCACTGTCCTGGTGACACAGCAGACACTCAACCCCTTTTCAGGTTGAGGGACTTCCTTTCCTGACAACAGATCTGCCAAGAGTCGGATAGATTGTGCCCATGTCCTTGGTCCCCACATCCCCGAAGCTGACCACCAGTATCAACATGTGCTCCACTGTTTTCTAGGGGGACCCACTGACTCCTCCTTCAAGGGGGGTTCCTGGCTCCAGCTGTGATGGGTCAGGCGGTGCAGATCACGCCACCTCTGGGGCTTATGCTACCCAAAGGCATCTGTCTGTGTCCCTTACTAAACATGTTCTCCTCCCTGCCAGATTAATGCTTAAGTAAAAATAGCCTTATAGTTCATTTTTAGTGTTCTTCCTAATGTTATACCAAATATATTAAAGACTAAAAAGATTTCTGAAAATTTGCATGAATTCGAAAGGCAGAGAACATGCTTTATTGGCATTAATGTAGATTTCCCTGGCATATTATGAAAAATGAACAAGATTACATCCAACCCCAAAATGCCAAAATTAAAGACATTTGCATAAAACTACAGGGGTTTTTTTTAAGTCACAGAATTAGCTGCTGTAAATGTAGGAAAGGCAGGGGCAAAAGCTAAGTAAGTAGTCAGACTTTTCCTTCTGAGGCAGCACTGCAGTTCTACCCCTACAGCTATGTTAAATTTCTGAGATTACAATTTAAATTTAAAATATGCTAAATAGACTGGGGTATTTGAAATTGGCCATTTTGCAATCTTTGGGAAAATATCACTCCAAAAATTTGGGGGTTTTTTGTTGGTTTTTGGTTTTTTTTGTACTGGGGATTGAACTCTGGACCCTGCACTTGCGAGGCAGGCGGTGGAACCACTGAGCTAAATCCCTGGCCCAAAAAATGTGACTTTTGTTTCAGAAGTTTTTAAGCCAAAATGACAGCTTCTGGTTTCTTTTTTTTTTTTTTTTTTCTGAGTTTGTTCATTTGTTTTATCACAAAGTAGCCTCCATATTAAAGACCTTAAGGGAACTTAAGGAACTTTTCTTGGGAATGAATTAGCCAAATCCAAACACCTTTTACTTGGAGAAAGTCTCTTTATCAATTCCCTTCTCTTTATCAACCTGAGCGGTCCCTATTTCTTGTGAAGATAATTGCTCAGTTAAAAGAATTTTCTCTAAGGAAACTTGCAGTTGGATTTCCTTTCAGGGAAGGAATACTGGTAGGTTGGTTTTGATTGTTTCTAGCCCTTTAATCACAAATCTAGGTGGAGATCAGTGGTGAAATTTTTAGAATTTAGAATGTGAAATTTTTCCAGCCCTAATTCCTACGTAGACCCAATACATTTGAAATCGTGATATTCATCAGTCCATATTGAGGGGTAGGAGAGGCTACAATATACAAATTATGGCACAAGGCTCAAGGCAAAAGAAAACTAATATGCAAATGTATGAGAAAGACAAATTCTTTTGGTGAAAGCTCTAAAGTTGTTTTGCATTTTTAACAGAAGTGTGCTGCCTCCGGGCCTCGGGCCTAAACTGAACCTCAGGGAGACAGCCGACCTCCTTAGGCACAGTGGAAACAAACAGCCTTCAGTCCAGGCAGCATCGCTGCTTGTGCTGCGCACTAGCAAGTCTGCTAAGCTCAAGGCCATTAGCTGCATGGGGCAGGCCACTTCCGCTTCAGATGGTCTCGCACTCGGTGGTGGCTGTGGAGCAGGCCCCGCAGTCACAGCGGACAGCCACAGGGTAGGTGTAGAAAGGGTCGACTCCAGGGACACAGTTAGGCAGCTCGACGGTCACCTGCTTGGTCTCCTTGTAGGTACAGACTCGATGATGAGCTTCAATGTAGGGGGGCTCCAGAATGGGTTTCTGTCCCCACAAGAAGAAAACAGGGAAGCCATTAGAACATACCAACTGCTCCCTCTTCTTGGTACCATTTACCCTATAGGAAATTAACTTGGTTTTTGTTTGTTTACTTCATGCTCTGTCTCCTCCTAGTAGAAATCAAACTCCTGAAAGCAGGAAGCTGATTTGGGTCATCACCATACCCGGAGCTCCTAGAGGAGCCCACCGCTCGGCTCACAGGTAGCACGCGATAAGACGTAGCAAATGGATAATCTTAATCCTTGCACCTGCCTTCTAAATGGTCTCCCATTTCCCAGCACCAGCCGCATCTCTGTTTACACCACAGCAGCCCTAAGTGATCCTTTAAAAGCAAGTTAGATTCTGTCCTCCGTTTGCTTAAAGCCCCAGGGATTTCCCATCTCATTCAGAGCGAAAGTCAGACTTTATGATCTCCTTCAGGCCCTACGTCAGTCTTTCTACACTTTTAAGATTCTCATCTTCTAAGTGAAATAAATAGGACACACATGTAAATACCAGATAGTTTCTCTGGTGTGAGAAACTGTAAGTGTAAATAAGGACTAAATGTATAATAGGTAATGTGAAATAGGAAGAAAGGTCCAAAGGGGGAGGGGAAGGGGAAGTGGGAGGCGTAGGGAAAAGGAAGGAAAGGAAAGGAATAAATATGAGAAAAGGAGAAAATGGAAACAAAGTCTGTGTAAATAGGGAGGGGTGGAGGGGTTGAAGGAAGGGCAGGGGAAGGGGGAAAAAATAAGAACCAAGATACCTCATGTAAAGGTACCAATTCCCAGTGATGAATGTCATCATATTGTATACCTAGATTGTACCAATAAACTTAATGAATTTTTTAAAAGTTTCGCATTTTCTCATCCTCTTCTTCTGCTGTGTCTGTGACCATTCCCACCTTGTGACTTCCTCGAGTGTCTCCAGGCACTGTGATTTCTGTCTTTCTTCAAATAGCCTCACTTGCTGTCCCCCTGCCTGGAGCACTCTTGTCTCCTACAACTCCCTGCCCCAACCAAACTTAGGTTTTTGTTCAAAGGTCGCCCTCTCAAGGGAAGCATGCAATGTCCCACCTCCACGCCCTAAAGCTTCCTCTCCTGTTTCCTGCATTGTTTTTTCTCCACACCACATGACATCTTATTTTATCTTTTTCTGTGACATTTTTTCAGTTCTAGAGAGTAAGCCCATTATGACAAGGGTTCTTGCCCATTTGGTCCCTGCTGGGCTACCCTACCCAGAGGGGTAACCAGGAGGTTCTCAATAAGCATCTGACGAATCAACGGAAGAAAATACAGACAGGCAGCTTCCTGAATGCTCTGTATTCTGTTCTGATAAATGAAGGATTCACTTCCATCCTTCACCTTATAGACCCTGAATTCTAAGATCATTTTGATAAACCGGGCACATAGGTAAGGGAAAAAACAGCACAAAGTAGTGGTTAAACATTTGGAGCCCTGCAGTCGAACCTGTTTTGTTCGTACACCTGGAAGACTTAACTTCCTTGAAGAGACTTGGAAAACTTAACTTGTCGATGTCCCAGTTTCTTCAACTGTAAAACCAAACACTATAGCATTGCTATGGAAACAAGGGAAGGTGGTAACACAATGCCCATGGCCTTGCACAAGGTAAGTGTACAGTCAGTATGATCTACTGCCTTATTAGACCAAATATTGGGAAGCAACAATGAAAAACTAATCTTTCAAGGGACAGTGCCTTCACTTGCTCCAGGCAAAAAAGTAGGCAGATGGATGATAGATGATTGATAGATAGATAATAGATAATAGATAGATAGATAGATAGATAATAGATAGATGATAGATAGATGAGCGAGAGACCCAAGATGAAGTCCTTGCATAAATGCTATGAAAATAGTAACCTGGCCTTCCACAAGGACCATGAAGAATTTGTCCTCAGAAGAGCTGAATTTGTCAATTTTCTCTCCCTTCCTCCCTTTACTTTGTGTTCTCTTACCCTCAGTACTCTGAGAACCTAGGCAGACCAGACATCCAGTTAAATTTGTATTTCAGGATAATTAACATCTTAGAATAATATTTGGGACAGATTTATGCTTTTAAAGTAAAGCCAGCCCCTTTGTTGTCATGAACATCCATATTTTCAGCCATCCTTATTTTCCAGGTCGGCTACGAAAAAACAAAAACAGTGTTCCTTATCTCAGAAACTTTCTGGTTGCTGGGCAAATGAATCTCACTCTTCTCATCCGTGTGCTCTTTACACAGATAACTTCACTTTCCCTAACACAGTGAAGACACAAACAAAAGGTGGCTAAAATCGGGGAGAATCTGCTTCTTTCACAGCTTAGTGCTTCTGCTTCTGCAGCAATAGATAGCTCAGTCCTTGACCTCCTGTGGGTGACCAGGGTCCTGTTAGAGTCATTGATCAATGTATAAAAGAAGAAAGGATGGGCTGAGTGCGGGAGAAACTGGAGTGTGAAAATATGGCCCACCAAGCTTTCCCTCTAGCTCAGATCCAAGGCAGAGCAGAAGGCATTGCCAGGCCACATACTGCACATGAAAAGGTTCCCTGAGTTCATTTGATATCAGTGGGCAGACAGAGTATATTAAGCAAAACTGAATTTTCATTTGGCTATTTAGGTTCAGGCCCCTGAATGGTACAAAGTGATAAAATAATACAATACAATAAAATAAATAAAGCTAATTTGCTGGAGTAGTTTCATTTAATTTGGCTGTTTCATCACCAAAGCTCAATTCCATTCAGAAGGTCACAATTTTATCTAAGCAATAGCAGGTTGCTCTCCCAGTCTCTGAAGCAAAGGCTCTTTCCCTAATGGTTCAGTGCTCCAGAGCTGGTTTTCATCAGACTAGAGAATAGATGGCTTCCGATAGAGGTCAATTCCATGCCGTTCAACAGGCGTGCATTGAATGCCTGTTCACCTGTGACACCACTTTGACAAATGCTATGAAAGTCACAAGAATGAACTTCAGCCCTCAAAAAAACTTAAAAACATGTGTGTGTAGAGGACGTTAAAAGAAAAGGTAGAATGGAGTCAATGAATTACCAGGGAGCCAGCCAAGGCTTAAGGAAGGAGTTGACACTGGCCACAGGCATGGAGAAACAGCTAGGATAATGACAGTTGGAAATGAGAAGGGATATGAGAAAGGAACCAAAGTAAGATTTCATGAGGGCTATGTTAGAAAGTCTTTAAAAGTCAACCTGACCAGGCCAAAAGTAAGAGTGACTGTCGTCCTCGGGAACATAGGCACTCGCCATATTGTTGCAGACAACTGTTGGTACTGAATTTGCACTAGTGAGTGGTCATGAAAGGTTTTAGACCTGGGGAGTGACAAGATCAGAGCTGGTACTTCATCGGCGACCATGGCTGAACGGGCACTGGTGGCATCAGCTAATCACTGTGGCGTGTCATGATGGAAGCACACTGGCCCTTCTCCTCTTCATCCCTCTAACAGCTCATAAGAGCCCAGCACAATTCCTACTTATTTGAGATTTTTAGGCCTATTTAAATAAAAGGCTAGGTATAAATGAAAATAAAGGGACTTGGTGGATCTGTCAGTGATTCCCTGAGGTCCTCAGGGCGCAGAGGGGGTTGGGCTGTGGGTGTGGCACTGAAGAAGAGGCCTGAGTCCACCCTTACCACAAAGCCCAGGGCCTCCTTCTTAGTAACTGGCTGACTTTATCACAGATGAGGGCGGAGCATAGGACACAGGCTAGGACCAAGACTTTGTTCCCAACTTTATACAACTCTCTGTGACTTGACAGTCACTCATCTCTGGATCCTCCTTGTGCTCTGTGAAATGGGTAGAATAGTAGCACATTCTGACCTCCCAGAGATAGCATGAAATACACAGGCACCATATCAACCAAGTTACTAATCGCATCAATACTTTCTTAGAGGGGCGACATGATGTTTTTTACATCATTTTTGCAAGCTGACAAATAATTGTGCTATTGCTTTTTTAATCCACAGGAAAGGGCAGATGCCCCTGCTTGATTTCTCATTACCAAAACAGTGAATGCTTAGGAACCAGGCCCAGGTGGCTGGTCCTGGAGTCTCTGCCATCTGAACCATCATCCTAGAAACTTACCTCCCAGGTCTCACAGCGGCCCCAGCAGGCATCGGCGGTGATCCGAAGGTCCCTGCAGCCCGGCTTCTTGGCCAGGAAGGTAAACTCCCTCACCGCACAGCCCACAAAGGTGCGCAGGTCACCACTGGAGGTGCCAAGGACAGAGCCACAGCCACACAGAAAGAGTAGGGCCATGGCACTCAGGAAAAGGCACGCCAGCTTCATGATGTTCCTCCAGAGAGGGAAAGGAAACAGAGTTGAAAAACCCTACTGCCTCCAGTGGTGGAGCCAAGATATGTATGTTGCTATCAAAGGGACCTTGCTCTTTCAGGGAAAGTGAGCCAGGAAATGTAAATATCCATTAAACTCCAACATTGGTGCCCAAAGTCTTCTATAACTGGCTCCAGTATAGATTCCATGGATCTCTCTAGATTCCCAACCCTCAAAGTGCATTCTTGGGATTTTCCTTTTTGCAACTCCACTGCTGGAGTTAACTTGTATGTTAAAGAAATTTAAGGAGAGATGGATATGATCAAAATATATGCAAATGTATGAAAATATCACATTGAAACCCAATGTTTTATAAAATTAATAGGCCCAAATAAAAAATATATTTAGAGAGAATTAGAAAAACTAAAACATTGAGCCCGTCTATGACAAAAAAAGCAATGTGTTCCAATGTTCTCTTCAAAATTAACACAAAATATGAATAATACCAAAAATCACGCATATCTTGAGAAAATACATGAGTGCACAAAAATTATTTTTATTACAGTTCAGGGTATTTGGGTGCCAGGCTTCATACTTTGCTCAAAATTATAGTTTCAGTGTCATGGCTGAGGAATGAATGAGGAAGGTAGATAAATATTAATAATGGCATGTATTGTTTCTAAACCAACCCACAAAAAAACATGGATGCATAGACATGGACATTCATAAAGCTGTGTCCTGTTTACTACAGATTGCTTCTGCTCTATGCTTCTACTGTATTAATTATCTAATTGTGATTTAATTTAAATTCAAAATAATGGGAAGCCTCAAAGGCAAAATTCCCAGCTATTATCACTGGGTCTTGGTCATTTCCTGAACACACTTGAATGACTGGGGGGGGGGGGGCTATACTTGAATACCCCAAGTCATTGTCACTCAAGGCAGGCAGCAATTCTGATCTGCTGTCATAGTTCCTGATTCTGCCCTGTCATCATAGAAGTTCTTGGGCTTCTCCACAGGAGGAATGAAGTTACAAAGCAGAGAGGCACTTACCTGACCTTGAATGGGCCCAACTCTTCTTTTGGAGCTGACACTTACACTCAAGTGTCACAATGAGTGGTAAAAGTCTGCTCTGGGTAAACGTCTCTACCTTCTGTTACTGGGCTGGTTGGTTGCCCAAATATATAGGAAAGGTCTTGTCAATCAAAGCCAAAGAGAGGCAGATCCTTGCAGGAACAACTAAGCACATCAAAGCTGTGGAATATAAAGCCAGTCTCTATTTTCCAAAACCAATTAAGTTAAAGGGAGTTGTTTTGTTTGTTAGCATCACCTACTGAAACAGAAAGTTGCCTTGGTGGGTGACATAATCCCAGTGAAATCAGCAGAGGTGGTTCACCTGGTTTTGAGAGAATAAATGCACTGGGGCAAGATGGATTAAATTTTCCTTCATGGTAACCACAGTTTTCTTTGAAATAGGAGCAAGTCACTAGCAGCCCATGGCAAACTTTTTCCTTGAACTCACAACATATTTCAACACATAAAAAAAATTACAAAACAATAATTCTTACTGGAAAGAACATGGGATCACTAATGGAAAGAGGAAGATCATGATGACAGTTTTACAGTTACTTAAGTAGTAAATAATATTAATAACATTTTAAAATGAATCATAGGAATTAAAGGTGACTTTTCATTTTTTCTATATAATTTTCAGCATTTTTCCACACTTTCTACACTGGCCAGAGTTTTACTTTAGAAAATCAATTGATATTAATATTTTTAAATTACAATAAACCAATATTTATGCATTTGTCCTGTAGAGGAAGACATTCAATGCTGTTCTAATGGAAATGTTTGCTTTTTTATTTTAAAAGGTTAAAATAAGAACAGAATAGTCATTTTTATGAGCATGTGACAGTTTATATTTCAGTCTGCAATAACAGCATGCAGATGGATTAAAAACCTACTTGGTGAAGGCATTCTTCTGGGTTCTCTGAAAGGTAAATGAAATAGACAACATCTATGCCCTTAGGAATTTACATATCACAGCAAATCATGACAGCCAGAGACAGTTAAGATGCATGTTGAAGAGCTAATATAACTAAACAATGAAGTTTAAACATCTTCATTTTCTTCAAAGAAAGGTATCCTTTAAACAAATACAATACTCATCAAAGGTTTGGGGTTTCAAAACCTGTAACAATGCTCATCGATGCAACTCCCTGTCTCTAGAATCAGATTACTACATGTGCTTTGAGCTTGGAACAAAGGACTTTCTTTAGCCCTTCAGCCTATAAGTAGCACAATCAAAGCCAGACACTGTGGGACACACTGTTTCCTGCCACGATTTTTCTAACTTGCCAGGCCACCGTGAGCCCACGAGCTGAGAACAACTGAGAGCTGTTTCTGAAGAGGGCTGCTCAAGCCTTCTGGGCCTGGAACATAGAGCCTTGCGTCTGCAGAATCACAAAATAATGGCACACAACAAAGAGAGACCCACAGCACCTTTCTTTCCTGAGCTCCAAGGGCCATGTTGCTCACTGTCCAATAATGGCCCTTTCCGGTTACCCGGCCTCTCCTCTGCATCGGGCACCAGGAGCCATCTCTAAACTTCCCAACAATTCTGTAAATCAATTATCGTTTATCCTTTTTTACAGTGGGAGAAATGGAAGCCCTGTCACTTTGTAACCTACCTATTTCTAAAGACTTGGTCCCATGACATGGCAGATGGGTTTGGTTTGCCTTGTAACAACATGGGAGAGAGGCCTGGGTGTGCACTGTGTGCCTGGAAATGCTCTCTCCTGGCTCAGCCCTGCTGGTTCTCGGTGGTATAACTTCCTACCCTTGGGCAAGTACCTTCTCTCAGCCTAGTTTCCTCACCTGTAACATGGAGGGTTAGACTGCAGGACACATGACATCCTTTCCAGCTCCAAAATCTATTGATTTGCAAACTCCATTATTTTTTTATAAAAATGTATAACTTTATTATCTTTATTCTTTATTATTTATTTATCTTATTATTTATTATTTATGCAAACTCTATTATAAAGAGAACAGCTGAGGGCAAGTTAGATGGAGAATCCAACAGCATCATTTCATTACCATAAAGTTTTGTAAAAATTTTGTTCAAACCTTGACTCTGACAATTGCTAACTTATGATCAAGGACAAGACTTATAAACCACTCTGCCCCATCTCCCCACACATTGAAAATGCCCCCTTCCTAGAGGTCAAATGAACGTGTAGTAATAGAATGTCTACCAATGGCTCATCACAGAGCTTGGCACCTGGTGCACAGGGACTCTATATGGCTGCCCTCTCCTTCCCAGGAGACTCATCATTATGTGCACCCCCTAAGAAATAAGAAGCTGCCAATAAAAAAAATGTATCATGGCAGCAGTTATCAGGCATACCCAACTTCAAAGATTTTAGATGTGAGGGAAAGAAAAATGTGAGTCTGAGAAGAGAGGAAGCAAAGCCTTTGGGGACCATGGGGCCCTAGCAGCATTGTAAAAGAATGCTACCAAGAGGCCCAAATTACTTCCCCAGCTACCCTGTGGGGCTGTGGCCTGACGCTACAATTAACATGCTTTTCAGTAGGAGAAAAGGGAAGTTGAAGTAATTTTTAAGGTCCAAAGCTAACACTCTGGGGGATACAAATTTACCATAGTTGCAAAATTCCATTAATAAACTTTCATGAATGTTCCCAAATAATTTTGGTTCTGACCCAAAATAAAGTGGAACAGACTCAGCCAGCCAGGGCTGACTGAGCACCCACCCTGCTCCTCAGGAATGAGTGAAGGCCCAGAGCAGCTAAGGTATTTGCTGCTTCCCTGAACACGGTGTCTTTGGAGTTGAGAAAACGTGTATGTGCATGCTCCCAAATGACTTTCCCCTCTGGTCCCTCAGAATACACAGTGCTCTGCCCAACGGTCAAATTAATTATCATTATGCCTCTTGTGGCTGAATCAAAAAGCCACAGATAAAGCTACATGTTTCATGGAACTAATAGAATTAACGATTTTCTACAAAGAGGCACAAGAAAGGTCAGCTTTGGATCTTACAAAGTTGTATACTGCTTTTAATATCTCTTATTTACAGGAGGGAAGAGTTCTGAGCCTTACAAATGAAGATGAATGGTGAAGACTTAGGAGAAACTCATTTATTGGAGAGGCATTTTTTCCTCTGAAAGCATCAGGCATTTGTGGGACAGCTCCTGTGTTATTGACTTAAAGAGATAACATTTGCCCTGGATGATGGTGTTGTTGCTATGGCAACTTTTATTAACAAGACTAAAAATAATGAAGCCTGTGTCTGATTTACCAGGACAAGTCAAGGCTTTCTCCACAACTACCTGAAAGAAGTATCTGTCAGCTGTCACAGATTTATTTCAAATTAAGAAGCACATGGGTTAGGCGCTAAAGTGAAATGTTTTTATTTCCAACTGACTCTTCCACTTTTGAATGTCATAGCTCTGCAGGGCATGGCAGACACATGCCTAATAGGGAGAAACAGAGAGGAGTTTAATGAATCACAAAGAAGCATTCTTTACTTCAAGTGCATCCTGCACAGTATTCTCACTGGAATGAGTCCATGGAGCAAGTGGGTCCCCAAGCCCTTGATCTGTAATTCCCATGCAGTCACCCAGACAAGACCAGAGTAGTTGTCAGCTGAGCTTTAGATCAACGGATCTTCATCTGCTGGCTACTGACTCGATTCCACTAAAGATCCCTCGGATCACAGCCCCAGCGTGTGCATGCGTGTGTCTGTGTGTGCCCGTACCTGAGTGCCGGGATGGCGAAGGGGCCAGGAGAGTCGTCTATTCTCGAGTGTTCATTGCATCACTTTACCAACGTACTAAGCAACTGCTGTGTGCAGGGCACTATCTTGCACCAAGGTCACTGGGTTCATTAAAAAATTAAAAGATAATGAAGTGGAAAGTTTAGGGGTGGGAATAGCTAACAATAGACAGTAATGGTAGATTTCATTTTCCTCTCTCTTCCTCCTTCTTTTTCCTGTCCATCCATATTGTATTCATTTCATAACACTGAGTGTCACCATGTCAGACACAAAAGCTGAATCAATACTCCAGTAAAGATGATAATAAGCCAGCATGCATATGCCTAAGAAATTGCATTCTTGGCCATTTATCCCAAAGAAATGGAAATGTTCACATAAAATCCTATGCTTGTTCAAACGCAAGTGAGTAGTAAAGCAAACTGGCGCATACATACATGGGACACTGCTCAGCAATAAAGGGAACAAAAACACAACGACTAGATGGGGTCCAGAGAATCATTCGGAGTTTAAAAATCCAGTCTGGATGGTTACATACTATATGACTTCACTCACGGAAGTTCCTGAAGCAATAAAGTTATAAAAGTGATGAACAGACTCCTGGTAGGCAGGCAGTAAGGAAGGCTGCTATGAGAGGGAAGTGGCATTGTGACCACAGGGCAACATGGGATGGAATGTTCTCTTGTCTATGGTGGTGGATACGTGAAGGAAACACAAAACTGCATAACTAGACACACACATGCACACACGCACACGCACACGTCCACACGAATACAACTAAAATGGGAAATCAGAACAGGACCAGATGTTAAAACAATGTCCAGACTCTAGTTGTTTTGTTTTGCAAGGTGTGTCATTGAGGCAAACTGGGTAATAGGCATATTTACTTCCTCTGTATTACTTCTTACAACTGCATGTGAATCTACTATTATTTCAAAATAATTAATTTGATCTGTAAAAGTCAACACAATGTCAAGTGGGATGCATGCTATGACAAGATGAAAGCAGGGTGCTATGGGGCTTAGAGTAGGGCTGAGGGAGCTGTGTGGTCAGGAGAGACTTCCTAAGGAGGTGACTGGGGGGTGGGTAGTTCCAAGCTGAGGAAACCACACACAGACGAGGGTCTTTGTCTGGTCCACTGCTACTTCCCCCACTTCCCAGAACATGCCTGGCTGACAGTGAATCATCAAAAACTATTCGTTGAAGGAATGAATAAGTGAAGACATAGAGGGTGACTTTTTAGTTCATTGTGGTTCAGCATAGCATACGCGCAGCAAGTCAGGCCTGAGGATGTTGAGAATAGGGGAAGTGCAGGGCTTGTACTGCTGGCATAGTCAGGGGAGAGGCTGGCGTGAAGAGACCCGCTGGGGAGGGCACTGGGCCACACTCTCAGATGGTGGAAACCCTCCAGGATAAGTCCTGTGTCTGAAGCAGACATCGATGGAGATAGAATTCAAGTCACACAGGCAGTGTTAAATCTTCCCGTAGCCACATGGAAAAGGTACAATGAAACCGATGAAATTAATTCCAATAACTAATCCCAGTGTGATTGTAGTGGAAAGAAAATAAATTTTATTTAATTCAATATTATCCAAATTGTTTGCGTTTCAACATGTAATAAATATTTTTTAAACTATTGATAAAATATTTTACCTTTTTTTTCAGTACTGAGGATTGAAGCCAGGGCCTTTACACTGAGCTATATCCCCTGAACTTTTTTCATTTTCTAAACTTTGAGACAGGATCTCATTGTGTAACTAAGTTGCCCAGGCTGGGCTCCCACTTGTGCCGTTCCCCATCTCGGCCTTCTATTCTTTTGACATCCTTTTTATAATAGTAAGCCTTTGGGACCTGGCCTGCACTAGCAGCACATATAACTGACAGCCCGCCTCATTCAAAACTATGGAGGCTCAGGTGCCCAGGACCTACACCTGGTGGCGACCGAAGTGGACCATGCTGGGCTTCCCAGTGGCAAGGAGAAGACTGTTTATTGGGATTTACCCTAGACCCCTCTCATGCGGCGATCTTAACTTTTCGAACAACAATAACCCTATGGATTTTGCCCTTTATGGTAAGGAAACTAAGACAAAAAGATGAATGAACCACCCAGGCTTCCAGCTCATCAGTGATAGAACTCAATTCCAACTCAGCTTTGGCTGATCGGTTTTGACTGCATCAGGCAGCTTAGCCTCTCTGTTCGAGCATTCTAGACAAAGCCTGGCTCCAGTGAGGACATCATATCAACCTTGTAGAAATATCCACGACCTCAACAGCTGAGCTCAGGCTGCTGGTGCACATGAAATTTCAAAGCATAAAGCAGCTAGGTGTCCGTGCAAGAGATTCTTTTTCAGAATTTATCAAAATGTTTATTTATCCAGCATCATGATTTCAGATATGTGGAGCCCAATCCCTGATTTGAGTGTCTCGGCCTCTGGAAGCAGCCATGTCTGCCTGGCTGAGTCACAGCTGCCAACCTTCACCTGGCTGAAGAGGCCACATCAAATTGAATTAGAGAGAGGAATTCTTCCCAAGTAGAGATGGCCCTCACATTTAGTGAATGATGAAGCCAGAATAATAATCAGGCCCACAGAAGGGAAACTAATACAATCAAAAGGATGGAGGAATTTCATCATAAAGGATAGAATTGAAAAAAAAAATCACCAGGCCAGGCTGGACCTGCAAAGATTGAAGAGGAAGGAAATACAATCGACCCTGAAGGACCCTGAAGCCAGGACAGTGGTGAGTATACTGAGAAACAGTATTTTTTTGTTTTGGTTTTGGTTTTTTTTGGTACCGGGGATCAAACTCAGGTCCTTGCGCTTGCGTAGCAGGCAGCGAAGCAATAGTATTTTTTAAGACAAATCTGAGACCCATTTCTACCTGTGGCTGTGGCTCCAGGGTCCTGGAATCCGTGCTTTTCCCCCTTGGTACTACTGGACAAAGATTAATAGCGGAGCTTGAGACTTAGGAGCTGAGTGAGGTAGAAGCCTCAGATCCACCCTGCTGAGTTAACGAGCCATGGGCAGAATCCATCCAACGAGACCCAGAATACCCAGCTGCAATGGCCTGAATAGCAAGCGTGTAAACACCTGATGCTGTGCTATTCACTGCTGTCCTCACTGCCTGGTTCTCCTGAGCTGGGTGTCATTATGTCCCCGAGTCCTTCTTCCTTCTCCCCAGGCTTTCCCACTCACTCCATCTTGTGCTTCTCATCTCTGTAAGTGACACCACTGAGAGTCATCCTAGACACCTCCCTGTGCCCTGTCCCACAGTCCCATGCGTGACACATGTACACACATCCCCTTGTCCATCCCATCTCTAAAATTCCTCATGGCTCAGTAATTCAGAATCCTTGCAGACCCTTGTGACTGATGCTTCTGACCCCTTCCTGTTGGGTCATGGGAGTTAGAAAGGTCTTTTGTAAACGTAAATCTAGTCCTGAATGAAAAGAAATGCTGAATGAATTCTGATGCTGAATGGAACCTTTCCCGGCTCCCTGGGCACTGTCCTCAGTCCTCTTCACAAGCCCGTCACCCTCTTCCGCCTTGACACCTGCCCTTTCCTCTCCCCAATGCCTGCCTGTGCTCTAGCCTTATTCATCCTCTGGGCTCCAGCTGAGCTGCTGCTTCTTTCAGGAAGCCCTCCCTGATGCTCTGAGTCAGACAGCTGTCCACACCATCCGTGCACCCCATACCTAACGCCACCCCTACAGCGGTTCCTGTTACACTGCCTTGGTGCCAGCACCTCACTAGTCTCTGGCACCAACTAGACTAGATGCCAGTCCCCAGTAGCTGTGCTGACTCTCCCACACATCCTTACCTCCCTAGTGCCTGCCGGTAACAAGCAATAAATACTAGAGGAAATCAGTAAAGGACTAAATGATTGTGGAGAACACAAAATATCACTTCTTCCCATTTTCTCCCTGCTTAAAACTTTGTCAGGCCCCATGAAAGCCTGGCCAATATTTCCAGAAGAGTGGGCAGCCAATCCAACAAGGTTTGCTCTCTCATTTCCAGATGAGAACTTGGGCCCGTGCGGACGGCATGGTGAGGTGACAGGAGCTGTGATCCGGTGCAGTGTGGGGCCACACGCAAGACTGTGAACTTACCCAGGGGTCCCGACTGGGTCATGCCCACTTCCCTGGTCTCCTTCCCATCCCGGGGCACTGGGCCTGGCCACCCCAGCCTCGCCCGTTCCAGCAGCCTCCACTGGGTGATTTGTAAGCGTGCATGACTGTTCCTTGGCTCTCCTTGGCACCTTCCTCTGTTTGCTTGGGTTTCATGACTAACTTTAAGTACTTGGGGAGGAAAGAAGCAAGCATTTTCCCTCTTTGCAGCATGAACTAACTCATCAAGGAAATGGAGGGGGTGGGAATGAAACTGGACTGACAGCCAGCTAGTTGCTTCCTTCACTCCTGCTCTTCTGTAGCTGTGTTTGGAGAAAAAGGAGTCCAGGCTTCTCTGACAGAACTATGAGAAATGACATAATTGTAATAATACTCTTCCCTTGGGGGCAAAAGTAAAGAAGGAAGCTTCATAATGGAATTACTGTGCCTCAAAGATGCAGTCACTTGAGTCATCCCTTTTTCATTGTTCACATCCAGGGCTGTGGAGATGAGGTATGTACTTCAGGCATGCTTAGCACTGCTGTTGCTGCTCTACTTCTGAATCGCTGTGAAGCTCCATGATGCCTGACTCAACTGAGCCAAAGCATGAAGATTCAGAAATACTACACACACACACACGCACACACACACACACCCCGAGCTGTATTTATCACACAAAATTATGAACCTAATACCTCAATTAAAAATTTACAAGACCCTTCTATTTTTAGTCTCCAGTCTAATCTCTTCCTTACAATGTTATGATCAGATTTAGGGTGGGAGATTTATCTCCACTCTCACTTTTCCATATCAGGTAAGAGGAAAAAACCATAGATAGGATCCGCCTGGCCTCTGTCTGTCTGCCCCACAGCCCCACTGAGAGTCTCTTATCTGACGGATGAGGTAGAAAAGTAAAGATGGTAGTTTGCATCCTGGAGATAGAGCGCTCAAGGAGAGTAGTCAGGATGTTATTGACTCTGAGTTACAAACAAAGGCCCCAAGGTGACAGAGACTTCTCGGTGTAAGTGACAAGAAGCCTAGAGACAGGGATTTCAGGCCTTGGCGCTGCTGCCCTTCAGTGGCATCAGGACAGGGTTTCCTGTCTCTGCTCTGCACCTCAGAATACTGATGCATCTCCCACCTCACACTGCATGTCCTGAAGCAGCAACCAAAAACAAAGAAGAAAGACAAGAAGCTAACTCTTCACAAGCATTTCTAGCTTCTGGGAGATAAAGATCTGACAGAAGTTTCCTGCAGATTTCCTCTGTAATCACAAGAACCAGAATCAGGCCACAGGAGCAGGTCCTGCTGTGAGGGAGGCTGAGGGTGGCAGCACAGGATTTTTCGGCCTCAGAGCTGGATGCCCACCCGCAGTAGGTAGAAGGCCCTGTGCCCTAAGCGTGGGGGCAAAGGCCATTGACTACAAACTGAGCTGTGTACTCTAATCTAACGTCCCTCGGCAAGAAAGCCAACCATTTCGTCTCCTCCTGACAGGTTCTTGCATCTTGTTTTCCTGTTATTTTCAAGCATAGGGGAAGGAGAGGAACGTGATTATTTATCATCCTGGAACGCTAATAATCACCGCTAGGAGCACTGTTGAAAACTCAACCCCCTACACCTCTGAGCCCCATTTTCCTTATGTGAGAAGTGAAGCGGGGCATGAGGGCATCACCAGAGCCCGCCCCGCCCATGATTGCATGCAGATGTCTCCAAGGTACCCGAGCCGTGATATAAACGGAGGAAGTGCGACTCCCACGGACTCACTGGCCTTGCGGAATCAAAATAGTAAATCAAGATGAACGCTGAAGCCAGTGTCGACTTATTAAAAACAAGGACTATTTCAGCCTGTTATTGAAGCCAGTCATAATCTCAAGAGTTTAGGGAAATTGCTGCCCCCTTCAAAGTGAATTTTGTAAAGCAAGCAGAATGACAAGGCACCAAAATGAATTTCTCCTTCATCTCTGTATTGAAATCATCTCCAATCTCTAAGGGAATAAACTCCAAACTCCTCAGCATAACTTACAAAAATCCTTCCCAGGGTCAGGGATTTAGCTCAGTGGTTCCAACGCCTACCCTGCAACCCGGTACCAAAAAACAAACAAAAAAAATCCTTCCCAGCCGGGCACCAACCTACATCCACACAAACTGAAGAATAATAATAATATTTTTAAAGTCTTACACTGTGTTCAACAGAGATACAATACTTTACGTTGCATTTGTCTCTTTCAATCCTCACAACAGTGTTGTTGTTCAGATACCATCTCCACGTTACATGGGAAGAAACTGAAGTGAAGTAACTTGGCTGAAGTCATTCAGCTAACAATGGTGGAATCTGATTTTGAACTTAGGCTGTATCCAAACCCTATGCCCTTAACCACTATATCATATTGTTCTTATAATATTTAAATATTATTTTCTAAATTTCTATTTACATTTTTATTTCTACCACTAATCCATATGAGGCCATTTTCTATTTCCTAGTATTATGTCTGACAGATAATAGACAATAAGTGAATGAATGAAGACTCCTATGTAGGCCTCCTTCTTCTTCAAATACACTGCACTCTATTAAGCCATTGTGCCCAGGGTCATACTTTTCCTCCACCCAGAAGACTCCTACTTCTTCAAGTATGTATCTGAAGTGTACGCCCATGCTGGTTTTCACATGGAAAACAAGTCACATACAGAAGAACTAGAATCAGAATGCCATAGGGCTTACTTATTAATAGGGTCGGTGAATATCAGCCCTTACAATAAATATCAACAACTTACAATAAAATCACTCCCAGTCAGCAGAAGCAAGCAGGTCTCTGCAATCACTAAGGGTCAGAAGATCCATCTTTCGGTGTCTTCTCTTCTAGCTGAGGCCCAGACCACTGTGGAAGAGGAAGAGAGAGCCTACAGAACTGTGTGAGCCTGGAATTGTGTACATAACTTCCACCTGTATTCCAATACCCATAATTCAGTCCCATGGCCTTAACCCAACTGTTCACAAGGCCGATGAGTAAGGTTAGCTAGCATACGCAAGAAGATGCCATAAATTTATTAATGTGGGTCAATGCCTTCAAAATTCTAAGAAAAATGATTTTTCATCTTAGAATTCTATACTGAGCCAAACTTTTAATCTAGCATAAGAATAAAATAAAGGTTCAAAACTTGTTTACCTTCTAAGTAAGCTGCCAAATAATGTAAAAATGGAAGTAACTAAAGGAAAAGCAAGACATCTAAGCTAGGGATCAGGAATCTATTTCAGGAGAGAGTTGAAGTCCAAAAATAATAACTATACAGTAGGCCTGGAGAGCAACAGAGCCAAACTGGAGCAGGAGGGCAACTACATCTGGAGGATTGGAGCGGGGAGTGGGCTGCTGATTTATTGTTCATCATGTCCTGGCCTAGACTGCTCCTCACCTCCCATAACATAAAGGCTCTAAGTAATATCTGCAATGTTCAAATCTGTGAGTGGAGGCAGATTACTTCAAAATAGAGAACTAAAGTGCAAATAAACAGCTAAAGTGAGTTGAAAATGTTTGCTCCAGGATACTGAACTTGAAGGGGAGCTGGAATCGAGCAGTGGTGGTGAACCTATGACAGCATGCCGCAGGGGGCACACAGAGCCCTCTCTGTCAGCATGAGAGCCAATTCGCCTCAGCATCACCCAGGCAGCCAAGCATTGGATATTCAGGTTTAACTGCAGTGTTGGCACTTTGCGATGAATAAGTGGGTTTGGGATTGCAGTTTGGGCTCTCAGTCTCTAAAAGGTTCGCCATCACTGGTCTAGAGGAACAGACTGGCAAATAAACCACCAATGACAACAGAGATAAATGCCGTGGCAGAGGTATGCACAGGAAGATGGCTTGCGAGGGGCACCTAACCCCGCCTAGGGAAGACTAGGGCATAGAAAGTGGGAAGACTTTCTGGGATAAAGTGTTTTCTGAGCAAGTGAAGGCTAGGAATGAACAACTACATTCTGGCCAAAGCATGTTAGAAGGCTCAGAAGTGAGCAAAAACTCCAAGGGTCGGGAAAGTTAAAGTGCTGCTGACAAAGAGAAAAGTGATGGGAAAGGGAGGGCGCATGCAAGGGGAGTAAGGGATCTCCTGGCAGCACAGGGCAGAATTTCACTCAGAGGAGTGCTACAGTCAGATCATCAAGTAGGAGTTTTAACCAGATCTCTCCACCCAGAGGACTGAAATGCGTGTGTGGTTGGTGTTAGATGGTGAAACTGGCAAAAGAGACCCCATGAGCAGACATCAGACATCCAGTTAACCGAAGGGAGAGATCCTGAGAGTGTGGACTCGCACGACAGAAATGTGGAGGAGAGGGGAGAGGAACTGAAATCTTTCTGAAAGGCTGACCTAACAGGATCTAGTGATGAAGGACGAAGGGAGAAGAGGAACCTTGGGTGGCTCATCTGGCTTTGCAGGCTAGGTACATGGTCACCCCACTGTGCAGCAGAGGGGTTGGGGGCAACAGGTTTAGAGACAGGCGAGTTCACTTCGTGCTGGCTTTGCAGTTTCTGCCAGACAATTCGAGCAGCGACATCTACTCGCTGATCTGTACCCAGGAAGGGGTCAGAGCAAGACAGAAGATGCAACCTAGAAGGTGGAAAGGACATCCTTGGGGTTGAACAAGGTCTCCCAAGAAAGATGTGCCATGAGGAAAAGGACAAGAAGTTGATGAGGAGCCCGACGGCTGGACACCCAGCTAGTGCTGGCCCAAGTATTTACTGCCTTGGGTCGCCCACAGCTCCTGGACCTGACAACCATCATTTTCAAGTCCATGCATTTTCCCCTGCATCAGACAAAGCTGACAGGAAGTTAGGGGCCAAATCTTGCCTAGTTTAGTATCCTTCGGTATACAACTAAGAATATTTATTTGTTTAATAAGTATTGATGAGGGGCCGGGGATTTAGCTCAGTGGTTTCGCTGCCTGCTGCGCAACGCAAGGACCCGAGTTTGATCCCTGGCACAAAAAAAAAAAGTATTGATTAAACAATGGTTGTATATTCTATGGTTTGAGGAGGCAGAAAAACAGTAAGCCCGACATGGTTCTAATTCAAGAAAGTAACAGCGTTGACCTAATTCACACCTCCTTTCCCTGCCCCCTCTTTCTCTTTACTCAACTAAGCAGAAATCTGTGTTTACTAGAGCCTGAGAAGGTAATTGGAGAGAAGAGATGGACAGAGGACAGTGTGCAGCTGGATAGGAGGAATAACTTCCAGTGCCCTATGGGACAGTAGAAGAGCTAAGGTAGACAAGAATTAATTGTATATTTTAAGTTAGCTAGAAAGATGATTTTGAATGCCCTCAAAACAAAGAAATGAAAGATATCTGAGGTGACAGATATGCCAACTACCCGATCATTAAACATTCCATGTATGTACTGAAATGTCACACCAGATCCCATAAATATGTACAATTATGATGTGTTCATCAAAAATTTTAAAACATGTATTTTCAAACATCAAAATATGGTTTCTAAAGAGCAAACTCAACCATTTGCATCCTGTCTCTACCATGAAAAAAGAAGTATTTTAAATTTCTGAATTGCCTTGGTTCACTTTTGAACTAAACCTTAGAGCCATAGAAATGGTCTTGACTGCTTTCTGCCCTCAGGTTAATCCTCCTCTGGGCCCCTGGCAGAGCAGGGAGCTCAGCCTCCTCCCAGGTGCCACCTGTGGGCCATCCCCAGTGACGGGAGAGTCAGTCCCTCTCTG